CTTATGGGAAAATTTGATTCGGTTCACGACCAATTCGGTTTGCAATCAGAGTCGCGGAACGAATTAAGTTCGTGAACTGAGGTACCACTGTACTTCCTAACATAATGGAGGAACATTGTTTTATTATAGAAGAATTTAAATCTGTTTGGGAACATGTGTTCAGGACTTGTTTTTAAAATTAGATCTAACAGAGGTTATAGAAGAAGAAAAGATTCTACTGGATAAAACCAAAGGTGAGGATGATTTGAATAGGGATTTTAAAATGGACTGTAAAGAATTGCTCATCTATAAAAGAGATATGGAAGATACAGAAAAGATGATGTGGATCTGAAAATGGACTTTACAAAGTTGACTACAAGAATGACATAGAGAAAGAAATTGCAATGGATATACGAACTATGCTGGCTGATCTTTTAATTATTAAAAGGGATATCCTGATTATAAATCAGAAGAGTGAGAGTTATCTTATTTTGGATCCACAGAAGGGAACTACTAAATCTCTGAAGTTGCTACTGAAAACAGACAGGGAGAAAAAGATAAGAAATCACCATGTGGGACTTTATTTGAAGAAGTGACTGAAGATTAAGCCTCTTATGAAGAAGAAAAAGGAGTTCAAAGTGGACTTATTTGACCAGGATTAAATTGTATAAATTTTGATTTGGGGTTGTTATTATTGGAATCTTTTTATTTTATTTTTTTTAACCAGGAGTGCAAGACAATGTAAAGATTTTTTCATATGGGGATAAATCTTTTACTTCCTACTTGTTACAGAAAGTTATGGGGTTAGAATGTAAAAGGGACCTATTGGATCTAGTTTAAAATATCTATGTTACTGTTATTGATTTCTTTATACCTATGGGGATAAATCTTTTATGTCTTACTTATTAGAGAAAGTTATAAGTCAAAATGCAAAATAGATTTGTCTAAGCTTAAAACATATAGGTTACTACTACTGGCATTCTTAATGCTTTTGCTGAGTAAGACTGATTGATGAATTTTTCTATAATTTGGTTATTGTTTAGTGATGAGAAATGGAAAGAAGAGTTACTGTAAATGCTTATACTTGTTTGGAGGGAGGGGGAATCACTTTTTATGTTTTTCTCTTTCTTTTTTCTTTTTCTTTCTCTTGCTCTCTTTCTTCTTTTTTGTTTGTATATCTTTTCTAATTCTGTATTAGCTTTTAACTATGTAAAATTCTAATAAAAATATTATTTTAAAAAAGCTGCTGCCTTTCATGCATTGAGAAGCATGATATCTGAATCCACATATCAAAAAAGTTTGTTTGAGGAGGTGTATTTATCTGGCCAAACTCCAGACAGTAATGTTTTGTGCCATCTTAATTTTGCAAGATAGATTACAGGTAGTCCTTGCTTACTGACTGCCTCATTCAGCGACCATTTGAAGTTACAACAGTGCTGAAAAATAACTTTATGACCAATGTCTTCATTTATGATCTTTGCAGCATCCATCAGTCAGGTGATCACCATTACAGTCAGTACGTGTTGTCCTGTGCCTGACCTGTTCTTTTTTTCCCTCCTCGCAGAGTGGAGAGACTGGAGAGGAAGGGATTACAAGAGAGTAAGCAGGCATACAATGGGGAATACACCGGGCTGTTCGTGTAGTACACTCACGGCCGCCAGCGCCAGCGCATTGCTTTCAATGTGTATTCCCCATTGTATGCTTGCTTACTCTCTTATAATTCCTTCCTCTCCAATGAATGTAAATGTAAACATTAATTCCCTTCTTGTTAATTATCCCAGCACTGGGGTGAGCGTTCCAAAGGGCAGTGGAGTGAGGAAAAGGAAAGCACAGTCGCAGATACATGATTTCCCACTTAATGACTGCTGTGCTTAGCAATGGAGTTGCTGGTCCCAAGTGTGATTGCTAAATGAGGATTACCTGTACAGTTGGGATGTCCCCCCAAATGACATCTCTTCAAATGTCAGATACAAAGTCCTATCAATTACTGGCTGTTTTTATTGTCCCAAGGTAAGAATATTTTTGTTCTGCCTAAAATGCATTGAGGCATGCTATACATCTTTGATCAGAGTACACAAAGTAGCACCCGCATCCCTTTTCCTGGAAAGGTCTCAGATTTCACAAGTGCAGCTGCTTTATAAAATTAACAGTACCTCTGTGGCTGGCAGAAGTAGTTCAATATTTTTAAGCAAGGTTCTTTCTCAGCCCTGCTACCTGATTTTTCTACCTGGAAGTGCGAGGAGCTGAACCTAGCACCTTAAAACACTGAGGTCTAGGATTGTAGCTTTTCATGTCTCACTATATTCCCAGAGAATTACATTAGTTGACAAAATGATTTTTTTCTTCTTCTTCACATACTGCTTATAATTTTCAGTCTTAGAGCTGAACATAGTAACCCATTCTCCAAGGAATGGTAAGGTAAAATTACTTTAACCTTAAGTCTGAAAAGGCTTTTCAGAACACAATAGAACCACTGAGCCCTCCTGAAACCGCCATTTTGAATGTCATACAGTATAACAAAACCAGTAACAAAAAATACAAGAGAAAAATATTGCAATCTGAGATCACCTTCATAAGTTCATAGAATTCGGTTGGGGATGAAAGCACCTTGACGTGGGAGCCAGCAATACCAAATTCTGGAACCAGGTTTCTGATCCATTGAAAAATATGTGTTCCCTCAGGGCAAAGGCAATTAGTGGGGACAGTCAGTTGTGGAACAGTAGAAGTAAGTAATGGAGCCAACAGCAGCCATGATGACCTAATAGGAAAAAGAGATTAGCTTAGCAACATATATAGTTTTTTCTCAAAATGCCTAGAGTTATGTGAGAAAGGGGATATAATCAAGCACTAAGCATTATAGATCCACCTTTCACCTATATTACAGATAGGTTTTTGGTACAAAGAAGGAAAACAACAGTCTGCAGGTAAAGGACAGACACCTACCCTGCATGTCACTAACTTCCCATCAAGATGGTAAAAAAAAAAAAAAGTAAAATTGGCCCACACAACGAAACAGCAACACAAAACTGCAAAAACACTATTAAAATAGAAAGCCAGTTCAGTTAAGGTACTAGGCTAGAAACTGGGAGACCATGAATTCTAGTCCCCCCCTTAGGCATGGAAATTGGCTGGGTGACTTTGGCCTAGTCATTCTCTCTCTCAGCCCAACCACCACATAGGGTTGATGTTGTGGGGAAAATAGGAAGATATACAGTACCTATATCTATAACTATATCTGTACCTGTATCTGTATATATCTTGTATATATCTTACATATATATCACACTGAGTTGAATGGAAGTGGGATATAAATCAAATAAATAAAATTAATAAAATTGTTCTATCAGCTCTTGAAATATCATTCCTAAGTGGGTAGACTTCTCTGTCAACTGACAGCTTTTTTTTGCTTCCAAATATCTTTCTAAAATAAATATCATTCTGAACAAGAATATCTCTTGTTCCCTTCTGATTTTCATTCCAAGAGGGCCATATTGTTTAATTAGAAAACCACCACAAACCCAATGCTTTGGATTTAGTTCCAAAAAGGTAATTTGGAGTGTGCAGGAGTCCAAATACAGTACCTCTCTGCAGTCTTTTAAAGCAGTCATACCTTTTCCCAGGACTGTGCAACTGTGCTCTTTAACTACTACAGTAGTACCTCGGGATACGAACGCCTCTACTAACGAACTTTTTGGGTTATGACCAGCTCCGGCCACAAAAATTTACCTCGATGTGCGAACTCTGCCTTGGGGTACGGCCATTTTTCCGCCTTGACACGTGGTCTGCGGCCATTTTTCCGCCCCTGACACGTGGTCCGTGGCCATTTTCCTGCCGCGCGGCGCAGCACCTGGCCGTTTTCCTGCCA